TCTTTATGCTTTTGTAAAATTGCTCCTTGCCTTTTGTTTTTAGAACATCAAATGAATTTGTAATATTAGTTTGTGTTTATTGTGCAAGATTTTTTTCTTTTATTCTTCAAAAATTTTTTCTTCTAAAAAATTAATATTTTAATCAATTTAAAAATTAAAAAAAGTGAAGATGTGGGCCCCATAATGCCACATAGGCAACTAACAGAGAGATTTGACGGAAACCCTAACGGCGGAACCACATTGTAACAAATTTGAAAGATCGGGGTATGTGATTGTAAAAATTAAAGACATTGGGGCTAACATGTCTTAAGAGTATAACCACAGGGTACTAAATTGTAATTAACCCTTATTCTTTTATGGTGCCCTGAACTTTAAATAGTAATAAAAAAATTTCAAGTAGGAATTATAGTTGAGTATGGTTTCCTCTTCATCTTGTCAGCTTTGGGACGCTTTGCCTTTGGCCACAACAAGCACCTCAAGTCAATTGCTGCTGCATATTGGAAACCACAATCCAGTTCTCTTCTGAATTCCTTGCCCTCTTTGTCTCATATTAAAGGTAGTGTTGTTTCATCTCAAATTGGTCCACTTTTGAGAGTGACCAATGATAACTCATTGGTTGTTCGAGAAGGAAGAGTCTCCACCAGCAGCCCCCTTGCGAGTTCTGGAATTATGCATGGATCTCCATTGTCTGACGATTCATCTCAGCATTCTGATTCTGGAATATTAAATGATGGTGTGAGCAATGGTGGTGTTAACCTTTCAACACCAAAACCCCTGGACAATGCAATGTATTCTCAGTGTGTATTGGCTATGTGTACCTTAGCGAAGGACCCATCTCCACGCATTGCAAGCCTTGGTCGGCAGGTATTGGCCATTATAGGAATTGAACAAGTGGTGGCAAAACCTGTAAAGTCCAGTAATAACAGTGTTCGACCTGGTGAATCCATTACAGCATCTCCTGGATTAGCTCGATCTTCTTCGTGGTTTGATATGAATGGAGGTAACGATATTCTGATGAAAACTATGCGGGAATCACTTGCTATCATTCATTGCCCTTTTTCTATTAATTGCAGGGACCAGTTAATAAGCTGAATGCTGCTAGTTATATTTTTGCTTGACATTTAGCTCCATTTGATGTTTCAATGCATGCTATTATTTTGTCAATTTAAACTATTTTTGCACTTCCAGTTTTAGTTCTTTAGTTGAGCACTGTTATTGACAGGTCATTTGCCTTTAACATTCCGAACTCCTCCTGTCAGCCCTCCTCGGCCAAATTACTTGACTGGAATGCGGAGAGTTTATTCTTTAGAGTTCAGGCCTCATCTAATGAGTCCAGATTCTGGATTAGCCGATCCGCTTTTAGGTTCTGGGGGAACTTCTGGCGCCTCAGAACGCAGTGTTCCTCCACAATCAACAATCTACAATTGGAGTTGTGGGCACTTCTCCAAGCCACTTCTCATTGCCGCAGATGACAGTAAAGAAATATTAACCAGAAGAGAGGAGAGAGAAAAATTTGCCTTGGAGCACATTGCTAAATGCCAGCACTCGTGTTCGTTTTCTTCTCTAATTCTCCTTTTGTTTTTTCACCTATTATTTTCATTAAATTCTTTGTGTTAGCCTTTGTTTATGGAATTAATGAATCTTCCATGTTCTTGACCAGCTGTTAGCAAACTTAACAATCAAATTGCTAGCTGGGACACAAAATTTGAGACGGGTACAAAAACAATCTTGCTGGAACCATTTTCTCCTATTGTAATTGCAGCAGACGAGAATGAACGAATCAGGTGTGTAGGTTCTCACTTGGTCAAATTTTCAGCAGCTTTAAATGTTATGTGATGTATCGCTTGATTTTGTCAGATAGTGTGCATTGGTGTGTTTGTGAAATAGTAAGGCTTAACTTTTTTCTTGGTTCTTCCTGATACACTAGCACAAACAAATAAAACTGTGCTGGTTTGTATGATACTGAGTGCCCATTGAGTACAATGGTACTTTCTTTCTGCTTTGTATGTTATATAATAGACGTTTTTCCTTCATTTTGCCTTTCTATGTGATAAAAGAAGAGATTTCTTTTCAACTTGGGATGTCTATCAATCTCTTCCTTGGTTGAATAGTGTATCACACTATCAATATTTTCCTTAGTCGTGTAGTGTGTCACTCTTGCGCCCTTCTGGTTCGGGCATTTTAATTTTCCATGACATATGGAGGATTCCTATCTCGTTTGAAAAAAGAAATGGCCTATTATTGTTTCTTTCCTTCAAACCATAAGGTTATGTTTGGGTTTAGGGTAATTCTTGCTTGAAAATGGGTTCATGCATGTGTGAATTTGGTTCATGTTGCTTAATTTGCAAAGCTTTCTTTGCTAGAATTTATTGATTACTCTCAGTCCAGAGTCCAGTATAAATCTGATGATGTGTTAACATTTTGGTGTTTATTTATTATAGGGTATGGAATTACCAAGAGGCTAAGGAGGCTACCCTTCTCAACAGCTTTGATAACCATGATTTTCCTGACAAAGGAATCTCCAAGCTCTGCCTTGTGAATGAGCTTGATGACAGCTTGCTTCTTGCTGCTTCAAGTAATATTCTATACTACAGAAATCTTAGCTTCTTAGTCAGGTTGGGCTATTATTGAATTTTTCTGATTTATTTGCACCTTTTCTGCGGTCATATAATTAGGTGATGGAAACATTCGAATTTGGAAAGATTATACTTTGAAAGGTAGACAGAAGCTTGTTACTGCATTTTCCTCAATTCAAGGTCATAAACCTGGTGTGCGAAGTTTGAATGCTGTTGTGGATTGGCAACAGCAATCAGGATATCTGGTACTTGCTTTCTTTAAGATGCAATCAGTCAGGGCTGTAGGACACGTTTGTTTTGGTTTGCTTATTCTTTTTTGTTGTTGTAAATAATTGTTTCTATTACTTTGCCATTGTTATGGTTGCTAGTATGCTTCTGGTGAGATATCGTCCATTATGCTTTGGGATCTGGATAAAGAGCAGCTTGTGAATTCTATTCCTTCTTCATCAGATTGTAGCATCTCAGCGCTGGTGAGTTTTTACCCCCTTTTGATTTTTATTTACAACATATTATATCCGTATCTCATAGTCCATACAGGGGATTTGTAATTGATTCTTTGATTAAATTAGGAACGCTTTTGAAGTTATTGATTTTGTTGGTTATGTAATATGTTGGATGCAAAAAATGAATAATGTAATAATTACTGTATCTTGTGTAGTCTGCTTCTCAAGTTCATGGGGGACAACTTGCAGCTGGTTTTGTAGACGGTTCTGTTAGACTCTATGATGTGCGAACTCCTGAAATGTAAGCTCTTGATATCTTCTTCTGGCAAGATGCAAATATTAGTCATGGAATTCTGCCTGATGTTTAAATTATACTCGCTATGATGTTTATGAAAACACTACAACTACTAGCAAATGAATAATAATATGCTGCAGGGTTTGAGCTTTAGCTCTTGGTTTTACTTTCTTGTCTTGATGTGATATTAACAATTTGCATAAGAGACTGCTTTAATCTTGTGCGTTTGTAAATGTTAGGCTTGTCTGTGCAACGCGACCACACACTCAGAAGGTTGAAAGAGTTGTGGGGATTGGCTTTCAGCCTGGGCTTGATCCTGCTAAGGTAAGTGGAGACCCTTGTTTTTCATTTTGAAGTTAATCCTAGATCATCCATTTACTATTGCAGCTCTTACATTCATTCTTGTGAAAGTGAAACTTACATGACATTCTTGTCTTCATCCAGATTGTAAGTGCATCTCAGGCAGGTGACATTCAGTTCCTTGATATCAGAAATGACAGGGAGGCCTACCTGACAATTGAAGCTCACAGGGGTTCACTGACAGCTTTAGCTGTTCATAGACATGCCCCCATCATTGCCAGTGGATCAGCCAAACAACTCATAAAAGTCTTTAGTTTGGAGGGCGAACAATTAGGCACCATAAGATACTACCCTTCCTTTATGGCCCAAAAGATCGGTCCTGTCAGTTGCTTAGCCTTCCATCCCTATGAAGTGCTGCTTGCTGCTGGTGCTGCAGATGCTTGCGCATCCATCTATGCTGACGACAACTCTCAAGCTAGATGAGAATGCTAGTTATTTCCTCATTGATTCGATAAGGGTTTCTTTCATATTGGAAGGCAGTGCAAGTGGATGGACTTCAAATGCAATCTTGCTGTTGCAGATCATTCGGTGCATCTGCTTCATTGTGTGATAATATATTCCGCTGCCCAATTCCTTTTCGGTGTCAATGGGCGGGTGGGTCTGGAAGCTTTGGTAGGGTGCTGTCTACTGACGATGCTGTATGCTATGATATTCATTAGCCTCAGGTGTAGATGGTCACAATTGTGGGGAATAATTTCCTGCATATTTATTCGGGGCTCTGGAAAATAATCTGTTATATAGGGTAAATGCGTGTAAATAAACTTCCCTTTTTCTGTTTTTTTATATAGTTCCTCATTTTGGTGTGTTCATTTTTATTCCCATCCCCTTGTTCAATTTGTAAGAGCAACACAGTTTAATGGTCATAATCTTAGTGTTGCAAGACATGGGGATTAAACAGACTCGCGATTGCGCATCTTGTAATCTGTTGAATTTGTGAGTCGCTTTGCCGTTTAATTAACCATCATGTAACTTGTAATTAATTCATCAATTTGTTTGAGTTGGCATCTCCTCTTCTCCCTTGTCTTTTTACCAGCCTTTATCGAATCTGGCTTCTGGGTTTTCTGTATTTCAGCCATTGATTAAGACCGTCTTAATTGTTGTAAATAAAGAGAGCAACTATAAGATCATATTAATTTGCGTTGTGGTATAATGCTTTGAATCATGTGGCATTCAAAACCATGGTGTTTAAAGTAATAAAAGTGAAAAATGAAATGAACAATCGAAATGCTCCAAATATAGCTGAACTCTCAAACAACCATGGTTTTTGTCGATGGTTCAGCCACAACGACTTGATTCTGAATGACATTGCCCTCAGAAAAGTTTCCCACGATGGACTAAGTTTCTCATCAGATTCAGATTGATCAGAATTTGTAAACATTCTGAGGGATTAATAAAGGCTTCAGAGTTCACTTCGCAATAATGAAAATCCACAGATTATGAAGCAAAATGCTACAAAGTCTTTAAGAGGCAATGATTCTTCTGAAACCCTACACACATAATTGGTGATCAATGACAACTGATAAGCTAAGAGCGTATCAATCTAAACCAACTTCGAGTACATCCCAAACTGGAAGAAGATGCAGATAATGATATACAAAGATATACACATATATAGCTATTATATCCCGGTTTGAAACTTGTAGGCCAGTACTTCACTTCCTCCCACCCACCATACCTTGGCCGGCAGTCCCAGACAAGCTAGACGACGTGTTGCTGTTTGTCATCTTAAACTTTCCATCTGCATTGCCAAACACATTCAGATCTTCAAATAATCGGTATGAGGGAACAAAGGGCTTTTGTCCTGCTGCAGGGGCAGGGCTCCTAGGACCAGGGATCACTGGGAAACCTCCATTGTTATCTGACCCATTGATTCCCCTTGCAGGAAACGAATTAAAATGCTGCAGAGGTCTAGCTCCTTGTGCCGGCATATAAGATGTGGTTGCATTGGCCCGAGGAGTTGAAAACGTATTATTGGCGGACAAATGGTTTTGGTTGTTAGAATAACCAGGTGTGGCTGCCCATGGTGGAGGGGGGTAGCCAGACGAGTATTGAGGTTGAAATTGTGACTGGAATTGAGGCTGTGTTTGAGGTTGAAATTGTGACTGGAATTGAGGCTGTGTTTGAGGTTGAAATTGTGACTGGAATTGAGGCTGTGTTTGAGGTTGTAACTGTGGCCGGAACTGTTGTTGGAGTTGGGGTTGGGGTTGAGGTTGTGCCCAAGGAACAACATAGCTGTTTTGGGATGCCATCCCAAGATTTCCAGGATAAGGTTGTGAAGGATAGGGATTCCCTTGTACACTGGCGGAAACAGGCACCTGATGCATGTTGCCGTTGGATGGAGCAGCCTGAGGGTTAGATGCTGGGGCATGAGGGGTGGTGTCAGGGGAGGCAGCTGTTGTTGATAAAGTGATACTTAATAGGTCGATCATATCCTGCTCTTTTGTAGTCTTAACTTGTGCTGGTGGATCAGGCAGAGCTAATGCATTGCTCGGGACAGATGTAGCTGTTGTGGAAGATGGATTTATTGTGCTGCTGGTGCTCACCAGCGCTAAACCATCATCACTGCCACTAGATGTGTTTTGAGGAGGTATTGCGCGTGGTTTAATATGCCTGCATCCATAAAACAAGTGCAACACCTATGAATGAACTTTTTCACCAAATTATGAGCTTAAGCCAGACACTGGGTATACCATAAGTGCTTTTATGCAACATCCAATGGTAATGCCAGTTATCCGTAAATCACAAACTGGTAATTACTAATGAATTAAAATGGGCCAGGAGATGAAACTGCACCCCACTGGGCAGTTGTGGAAAGCGCTGGCATAAGAAATGCATTTTTATGACCTATGAATAAGAAAATAGAAAACAGAAAAAGATGGCCAGTCATACGCAACCTTCGAGCTAGCTGTGCAAATTCATCTTCCTCTTCTTCGTCTTCATAAATCTGGACCCTTGTCATGGTACCAACTGGTGCAGATGGATTAGTATTAGGTTTTGGACTAGAGTCACTTGCGCTGGAGTCTTTTACTTCAGTCTGCTTGGAACTGGACAGAGACTTTTCAGTTGGCTGGGGACTGACATTTGTAGCTTGAGTTGGCACAGGCAAACCAGAAACAATGGCATCATGTTTTGCAAGCAAACTTTGCAGACCATCATTTAAATCGAGACCTCGAGCAAGAAGTTCTTCATCTCTGCACGTTACCCAAAAAGGTATGTTAAATATTTACCACTCGTGCACTTGCACACATACGCACTTCTACATAAAAAATATATAGGAGTAACAGCACATGAAACGTAACACTTGAGTGAGTAATGATCTTCATCATATGAACGCACAAAACCATTGGGTTCTGCCAGAAGGATGTTTGCAGGAGACTAACCCAGTTGTAGTTAGCATCTGCATCAGTTTTTTCTGGTTGGCACGACATCGGTTGACAAGATCGACTATCACCTCATCTTTTATGGCCTACAAACACAGAAACGAAAGGTAAATATCTTACCCATCAGTTGCGAGGAAAAAAGTTGAAAATATTAATTGCTCCTCATACCATACGGTCACTAGGGTTCACAGCTTGCAGCATGTCACTTAAAAGCTCCATAACATTTCTCATAGAATCCAGGCTTGACAAACTAAAATTATTAAAAGGAAAAAAAAAATCAGACTGAGGAATGAACAGAAGATAGATGTTTTAAAGCAATCCTAAACAACAGCTCTAAGAAATGAAGAACCGGAGAAACAGTAGAAACCAGTAGGGAATCGACAACAGAGTCCAACTCTCACCTTAAATTCTCCATTTCTGTAGCCATCGTTTCATCAAGCCTTCTTGAGGAATTGCTAGGCATTCCATATCCTGCTTGAGCATGTCTCAATGTTGTCTGTGTAACGGGCGGTGTAAAAATTGCAGGTGCTTCTAATGAATGCTTGGGAAATTCTACTCCAGAACGCTGTCATTCATGCAGTGCATGGTTATTAAATAACATCTCTTCATACAGAAGAAATTTCATTTTTTTAATTACCATGCTCTTTCAGACATAAAGAAATAGAACAACACTACTCTTACCACATTTGTATACCACATCCCTATACCATCTTATGTGGCAGCTGAGGTGGATAGCCACATCAATTAAAATTATTTAATATTTTCTTTTCTTTTATGATTTATTCCAGTATTTGTTTTTCTAATTGTCTTAATTAAAATACACTTCATTGATTTAATTGATGTGGCATATAATATGGACACGCCACATCATATGGTATAAAAATGTGGTAAGTGTAGCATTACTCAAAGAAATAACTGCAAAAAGAGGGGGTGCATCCATCAAAGACATCTCTGAGATTGCAGTTAAGAGGTTCTAATACATTGGGGTACTGCACTACATATGTCTCTGATTATATTCACTATCTTGATTTGGTATTGCCCTTTAATTGTCAATGTCAAAATTGGAAGCACATTATCTTTAAACATAAAAAGCTGAACGAGATAGCCAAACTTATACCCTTAGTTCTTCGCATGCCCAGTAGTACTGAGGATGTTTTCCTCCAGGTCCACCAAATGCCTCTTGCCAACAGTCCAGCAATATTAAGATTTTTTCCCTCACCTGCATATCTGCCTGATATTCCATCCATACATACGTTTTAAAGTGAGATGGAAGGGAAATACAGAACGGGAAAGAAAAACTAACAAGACGGATTAGAGTCAAATAGTCAGAGTAATGAAAAGAATATGCTCATCACTTAGGAAATGAAGGTTCTGTGACCAATAATGCTGAACAAAGAGAAGAGGCTTTGATGCACCCCACATACAAACAGTACCCAAAAAAAAAAAAAAAAAAAAGATGCAGTACAAAAGTCATGCATAGAACAAATGTCAAAAAAGCACGACTAGAGTACATTAGGACATTGCGAACACGTCATCAAACTCCTTTGTGTTTAAATTCACAACACCCAAATTTATCTAAGACATAGGGAGGCCTTGAAGACCACTATGAACAGGCCACTTGAGCCTAATCATACTAATACCAAACACACACACCCTAAATAAAAGTACTTGCAAGACTATACAGAATCACAGACTCAAAAAAACCGTACAGGTCAGAGTCCAAGGTTTAAAAGAATCAGCAGGTCAACAAATTTCATCAAAGAATGCCATCATGAAAGGAAGATGAAAAGAAATGAAAATCCAGCTCCAGCGACGGATGAAAATAAAACTAACCTAAACACTAAGCTTTAAAAAAAAATTAAAACAGAACCAAAATGGGTTTATAGCTCACAATACTCTGCCAGACAACTACATCTTCAAGACTTACCTTCTTTCTGACAATTTTAACCATCTCGCCTAGTATATTTCTCTCTGCAATTTGAACATGGACATAATCACCACAGTTCTTCACCATTGTCTCCAAAAGCTACGAAATATAGCACACAATTAACCAAAAGTAAAGAAACGGTTCCATATCTGACATTTAAATATAAAAAAAGCATGCAGATGGTTCAAATTGGAAGGTGAAGAAGATTAAAAGGATTTCAGTAAAAAATTACCGTCAAGGCTAGAAATTGAACTTTGGAGCTCTTATGCTGCAAACGTCTCTTTACAGCTTTCACGACATCTTTTGCCTGCCTGATAAATTTAACACGTCCACATCAATGAACAATCACAAACAAATTTTTTTAGAAGAAAAAGAAAAGGACAGCGCAAAACACACTAAAACTGTTATACAACAAAATACCACATAACACAGCTCTTAAGAACAGAAAGAAAAATTAATACATAAATCTGCCTACGTTTCAGGTACCAAACGGGGAAAAATCCAGAAACAGGTGAGGAAATTAGAACAGGGCAAAGTGTTAATTTTATCTTTCCACCAGAAATCTACATATCTATAGAAATATTCTCGTTTTGAAAGAGAGTTATCCGCTACTTCTAAATCAAATCCTCATCTGTTTCTGGAATTAATTAATCAATCCAAAAAATTGACATACTCGAGATATTTCAATCCAATACATACTCCAGAAATTTCAAATTGTATAAAGAAGCCATATAAAATAATTCGACAATAATATATGTATATCATTAGAAAATCATTTACTTCACTCACTCTCTCTCTCTCAGGCATACACACATATGCATACATACAAATCCTAGCGAAAAACAAAAGGAAAAAAAAAAAAAAAAACAACAACTGATACTGGTATTAGGCAGATAATTGTCAAAAGCAAATAAATTTCCAATCAATCAGAAACCCTAAGCTGACGGAAAATCAAAAGTCAACTCAAAAAACCAAAACAAAAAGAAAAAAACAAAACCAAGATAAAGCAAAAAGCTTTGAAGCACATATATTACCAATGATGAGAATTGACGGAATCACAGATATCTATGTTCATAGTCCAATCAGGGCTTATCAGAAGATCGCTCGTCGCCTTGTCGACAGCCACAGTCGCTGAAGACGACGATGATGACGACGACGCTACTATCATCTTTCTCTCTCTCTCTCTCTCTCTCTCTCTCTCTCTCTCTCTAAGACTTTCTGGTGCAGCAGAAACTTCCCCTCGGTCTAAAAATGAAACAGAATCGCAACTAACAAGATAGCCCACAACAACTCACTTTCCCGGAAAATTCCCCGCCATGCTTTTCTTGTTTGGATAGGTGGAAACTTCGAAACCCTAATAAGCTTTTGGGAAATTTGCAGTCTTTTACAGGAAAGAAATTGGATTTTGGATTTTTCTTTCCTTCTTTTATCTCTTTCTTTACCAAAATGCTTTCATTTCAATTTCCTCTTCGCTCTCCCTTTATATTTCTTTGTTCAATCTCTCTCTCTCTCTCTCTCTCTCTACGCCTATCCTAAGCTGTCGCCAAGTTTAGTATCCTTTTCCGGAACTAGTTGAATTTCAACAGCTCACGCGCCACGTGGATAAAACGCGCGAAGAGCTTCCGCCTAACCGCATAGCTCTTTATTATACGGTCACTATACTGTATTTGTGTACAGTCAGACCATGGGAAAATGTCCTTTTACTTTTCTTTTTTGGTAATTTTTATTTTTTTAATTTTGGTCATATTTATTTTATATTATATTATATTTATTCTTACGAGTGATCCTAAATTCATAGTAAAGGTAAGGCTGGGGTGGTCACTTAGTCTCAGTGGTGGTGATAATAAGCATAGAAAAGTCATAATGGGGACTTTTGTGGATAAGAAAGCAAGTATTGTACGTCTCGATCGGGGCCGGCCTTGTCTCTCTTTTATGTGTTCCACTTTTCATGGATATAAACCAAGCTTTCCACCAAGAGTTATTTGCATTTCTTTTATGTGTTCTCACTGCACAAGTATAGGAGTGTGTAAAGGGTACAACGTGAATAGCTCCATTCTAAAATTAGTCTAGTATTGGGAAATCTGAGCTATTTTATCCTAACAACATCCACATGTAATTTTTATGAAATGATTATTTGATTAATTATATGGCAATAATCTAACCTAGTGACTTTTTCTTGCCTACAAGAACCTCCTAGCTAGGCGGGTGTTGTTGCTATTTCTTTGCTAGTTTTTACAACTTTAGAAGTAGTTTCGTATATGAATATAATTAAAATTAAAACTAGATATGTTTTCTTCTGTGGAGGCACAAATCAAATTAAAACTAGTAGTTTATTAGAGTTTAACCTTCAAGTTTGTTTTTGGGGTCAATAACTTTTAAGTCAAGTATGGTCCAATAAGACATGCTACGGAATCAAAAAAGAGAAAATTTTCATACTACAAGAGCCTGAGGTCATTCTTCTTTTATTTTGGATTATAATGTCATAAGATCCTTTTGTTTAATTTATATTTCCATCTAGTGGGGATCATTTTTTAACCCAAATAAAAAAAACAAACAAAAAAACCTTGAGATCGCCATCCCTTTTAAAATTTTTCAGGTGGATCCTTAGCTATGTTTGCTTTTATACAGAAAAACACAGCAACGCAAAGGACCCACTAATATTGTAGTGTTTTGGAACAATTGCTCTTCCAAGAAAAGTTTTGAGTTTGAGTTCTAGCATCCGTATAATGTGTGTGAGTTTAATATCTATCGCCCCTCTCAATATAAAAGATCCTAAAATAACCATACACAACAACAAATACTCATATGATCCTATTAAGGATAATATTAAAGAGATCATAATGGGATGATGGTTATGTTTCTGTAGACCTTTGACTTCAGCAATGTGATAATTAAAGACCAATTAATGAATCTGTCACACCTCATCCATGTCTAATCCACGACCATTTCAAATGATTAAATTTAAATCCTCCACGCCTAAAAGAAGCACACTAGGAACATTTGATACCATGCCCAAATTGCATGAGAGAAGAGTGGAATTAAACTTTCCTCGTGACCCTTTTCATTAGGTTAAAGGGATCCAATTTTTATTGACCCCAAAAGAAAAAAGGGATCCAATTTTTAATGCAAAGTGGTAGGTAAGAGCTAAAAGGGAATTTCCATATTAATAGAGGGCAGTTTACTTCACAGGCCAAAGCAAATTGTAAAAGAAAAACATTCCATGGATGTCTGTCTGTCAATAATGCCCAGCTAAATTTAATATAGAATTCCAACAGAACTGCATGCTAGTCAAAGCTGCTTCTTCTTCTTCTTCTTTTAATTTTTTTATAATTTTTTTAAATGTATTTATTTAATTTAATTTTGATAGGCCCGTGAGCGCTGGTTTGGTAGCTCGATCCAAACCGTGAGTGCTAGACATGAAAATAATGATGAAGCCATGTTTGATGTTTGTGCAAATCAATGTTATATACAATCAGCCTCCAATTACTGCACAACCACAAGATCTTCAAAACCATATGATTTTCCTCGATATATCCTCTCAATCTTGACGTTGACCACCCACACTTATACCAGACAATTTGGTTGACTGGTCTTCCCATCTCTTTCGGCTTACAAGTCTCTCAATTGTGCTACCACATGCACCACTCATTGTTAATCAACACAGTTAAGCACAATAATTAAATTGGCTGCTTTTTCTTCTTTTTCTTTCTTATATATAGATATTTTGGTTTTCAGCAGGTTTTGAATAATATGGGTTCGAATAAACATTGGATAGTACGAAGTGCTTAAACAAAAATTCTTGAACATCAAACAACCAAAACTATTACTCATTATAATAAAAAATTTCCATAATGAAAAATATAAATCAAAATTCTATAATTGATCATATAATATGATAAATTAATTGATATATATTGCAATATCAATTAATGTCGTTGATTATAGATACGCAAATTTCTATAATTTCTTTGTGAATTAAACTTTATTCGTGTCACAAACTACATTATACATGTAATAACTCAGTTGTTTTGACAATTGCTTGAATTTTAGATCAAATTCAACTAGAACATATCCCTTTCATTTACCCTTGTCCAATAGTTGCCTTTCAATGTTTTCCAAGAAAGAAAAACAACAGCTCATCATTTCCGTCCAACAAAACAGCGGCCCATAATTTCCTTCCAAGAAAATAACAACATCACATCATCACGTAAATTATGAGATAACTTCCAACTTTGGACCATAGCGTTTTGTCAACCATATAATTAATATAGAAAGGAGGAAAGAGCCAAACCTATTTACATAGAATTTTTAGAACAAGAATTCATCAATTCTCACGTCTTAGTAGTCAACGATGACTCTGAAAGAAACATTACATTCCACGTACATATGATTATGACGTGGCCTTATCTATAAATACAACAAGGAAACCTTATTATTAACATAAATCAAGGGCTTGATCACACATTAATCTCTCTTAATTAGCATAATGATTATGCTAATACGAAGTGTACTGTTCCCTAACTCTGTTCCCATCATCAGCCGTCGGTACTGCAGCCCCACCATCCTGTTGATATTAGAATTGTAAGAAAAGGCATGCTCTCCTTCACTGTAGGCAACCTTGTAGTCACTGACATCGATGTCAATATCATCTTCAAAGGGGAACAAAAACACTCTCACTCCACCGGGCGTCGACTCTTAATTGACTTTGCTGGAAATCCCATTCCCATTCTCATTCTACCCCGATGTAAGGTTTGTTAATTAATTAACAACTGTCATTTATGAGATTTGAATTAACATCTTCGTTTCATGCGATAGTCTTGTTGATTTGTTTATATGTGCATATATACATAGTTCGTGAGTTTCGATGATAGATGGCAAGTGTTTAGGGGCGATAGCAAAGAATCAAGGGATTTGATTTTTAGTGCTAACTTGCTAAGCGATCTTCAGGGTTCCAATTGAAGACCACATTGCATGTTTTCTTAGCAAATAACACCACTGAGAATGCACCTGACTTCAAAATCAAAGGAAGTTGGCTCCAACGATCTTGCGTCATATATGCTGGGAACCCTTCTACCATCATTTCCCAAGTTAAGATCGATATATTTCCTTAATTTGTTGATAAACTACTTGTTATAGTGATTTCATTTGTTTACTTCTTTCCTTTATAGAAAAATATAATGACTCAGAATGTTGTAAGAAATATTGCAGATGCATAAGAAGCAGACTGCTAACTTGTTTGCCAAGGATACTTTCATAGTGACAATTTCTCCTGGCATAGTTGCGCTTATTGTGATTCTTGATGCAATTAACCTTGATAATGGCGATTAATATCAAGGATTGAGTTCATCAAGTCCAATCAATTCGATCTATTATGTTTGTGCATGCCCTTTGCCTTTGTGGTTAATCTTGCCCCGGGCCCTCCTTTTCTTTTTTTGCTTGTTTTTTAAAATCCATTTCAATGCTAATAACTTGAGTTCTAGCACCAAAGTATTGTATCCCAAGATACTGTATTTGGATTTCCTCTTCTTCCAATATCTCGGATCGCTTAAATTGATAAATTGCAAAGTGAACATGCCCCGACAGAAATTAAATATACTAAAATGTAAAAGTTTTTCATAGTTTAAGTTACACAACAGGTCTTGATTGGTTTGAATGACATAAGTATAATTAAGGAAATCATTTTATTCAATTCATATGATGAAAATTCAAGTAGCAGCTAACTTATTACAAATGAATTATGATCAGCTTCGCTAATCTTCCCCCTTTCGATCCTGATTAATCTCATGAAGAATCACCACAACAGCAACTATAAATCCGAAATCAACCTGAGGGTACACTGTCACTGAAAACGCATCCTGTCCTAACACACGATTTTTAACACCGACTTGCTTATGCATCTGTAACATAAATATAAATATCACCACTCATTCATTTCTATCATTTACCTTAAAAAAATAGAAAAGAAATCAATGGAACGAATTTAACTATATGATTGATCTTACTTGTGCAATGATGGTGTTCTCTTTAGTATATATGGTGCATGATCTTTCCTTAAAACTGCCTTTGACCTTGAAATCATGGGTGTCTTCTTTTGTGTTAGAAGCCAAGAACACATCCAATTCAGTCTTTAGTTGAATAATCCCCGACTTCTTGGCACTAAAAAGTAGTTCTTTGCTGTCTGAGCTATCTCCTTTGTATACTTGCCATCTCCTATGTGCTGTCAATATCTAATGCTCAAAATTAAAAAAACAAACACAACAATTTAGAACAAGCAGTATTATTAATTGGCACATGCAAATTACAATGTGATTTAATTTTTGTATGTACCTTTTGTCGAAATGTGACGATAGGAGCACCGGCGCTGTCAACCAACACACGATGATCATGAAGGCTGAGTACAGAACCTTTAACGTTGAACATGACGTTGCCGTTAACATCGGAGATAGCGAATGAGCCCTCCTTAATGGTCATGAGCTTCTCGCTAATGACTAGATCCACAGGGTAGGATGATAGGAACTGTGAGTTGACCACGACCACGGGGTTCGACAGAGGCGGAGCGCTTGGTCCAGCTGAAGGCACAGGCACCGCAAACGACATCGTATTCTATTGTATTGTCACACACTAGCTGAGGGCACAAGAGAGGCATATCATCGAAATTGGCTGGCAGTTGCAGAATTTATTGAGTTCCTTGACTTGTTCAAAGTTGAATGGTTCTGATTAAATCTTGAGGTTGTAAATTTTAATTCACACTTAGAAATTACAATCATATGGCTTCTTATTTTTAGTCTTTTGTAATTCTAGTCCAAAGAACCCGGAACCACCTATAAATATTTATTAAAAAGGTATTCTAGTCAGGTAGAATTCTATAGTTAGGGTTTTATCTAAGGTCCTTAGATAAAACTCTATCTCTTAACCATTAGATTAGATTAGTTAGCCATTGAATCAAATTAGTTAGTTTGATCCAACGGTTAAGAGATAAGACCTCATTTAAAGATCACTTACAATGAAATTAAAAGACGTCAAGAAGAGTATGAACTAACAAAAGAATACTTATTGGTGGCCGAAACTTGTGACGGGCTCATATGCCTCCACGATCAGCGCATTACCACATTAATTTGGAACCCGTGTATTAGAAAGTTTTTGTTTTTGCCTCTGCCTCGTGTTACCCTATTCGGGCATAAGCATTTGGCTATGATTCGCGTACCGAAGACTATAGGGTTTTGAAAATTGTAAAGCCTGTCTGCTATGAACATGAAGTTGAGATTTGGTCCTTGGCCAGGGTATCCTGGAAGATTCTTAGTGTTGCCTTGCTGGTGCTCCTGCAAATTTCTTGCCTGGAGGGCCTACCGATGATAATAAACATGCTTTTGTTAATGGTGCTCTGCATTGGATTCGGCAGTCTGTTATACACGAGGACAATAAGCTCATCGTGTCATTTGATTTGTCCGCTGAATTATTTGGCAAGATCCTGTTGCTCAAAGCAGCTTTTCGGATACGCAGAAGAAGGGGAGTGGGAACAGATTTTTGCTTTGTTTCAAGATACGGAGAGTCGCTTGCTTTCTTTGAGCAACGTGAAAAGCGGCGGTCGGATGGAAGTGTTTATGTTTCTTGTTTTCACTTAAGAGTATGGTGTTGCAGAATCATGATACGCAAGCAAGAAATTGTGGTAAGGCCGCTTGGTTGTGAAGGAATGTTGGTGGAGCCGTTTGGCTTTAGAAAGGGTGGTGAAGTTGTGTTCGTACTTGTAGGGATGTTGTTGGTGTTGGCGAGATATCCTAGTCTTATTAGAATATTTCTTTCTTATTCTATTAGGATTTTATTTGTTTCCTTTTTGTATAGATATTATGTAAGTATGACTTTTCTTATTTCCTAGTATAACCCTACTAGGGTTTGTAACTTTGTATTATAAATACCTCATTTCGGAGAATGAAATACATCTCAAAAATATTCTACCCATATTGTTTGACTTGGCATCAGAGCCTACTTTTTTGGTGACCTGTGTGTTGTGCCCACCCGTGTTCTATCCCCATTTTTTTTTCTCTACCTGTGCCGTGTGTGCCCTCCTGGGTTTGCGTGTCGTGTTGTAGTGTTCGTGCATCTACTGTGTTCATGTCATTCCTGTCTTCGTGCATCTGCCGTATTTGTGCCTTTGCTGTGTTCCGCTGTGTACTTTGTTATGTTCGTGCCTGTCTTCGTGCATCTGCCATATTTGTGCCTCAGCTGTGTTCTGCCGTATACTCTGCCGTACTCTATTGAATTTCTGATGTAATCATGGGTGATAACTCCATTGTTGGTGCTGTTGCTGTTGCCTCTACAAATTTGTGTCTCTGATTCTATTCTAGGTACTAGCTCCAATACTTGGATAATTGACACTGGTGCTTCTGATCATATGACTTATGATGCTAAATTTTTTGATGAGTTGTCTAGTAACACCCGTGACCCATACATAACTAGTGCTAATGGCTTACCCTCTCCAATTACTGGTGAGGGCACAATCTCTTTCACTCCTACTTTGTCCTTGTCTCGTGCGTTACTAGTTCCCAATATTCATTGTAGCTTGTTATCTGTTGGTCGATTACTTGATACACTTAATGCTTTTGCTACTTTCTATCCTATGCATTGCTCTTTTCAGGATCTCAAAACTCACGAGACTATTAGGCATGGTAAACAGATAGGGGGTTATATTATTTGACATTGCCTTCTACACCAGTTCGTGATCGTGTCGTTAATACTGTTCAAAGTTGCAGTGTCAAAGACAAACAACAAATTTGGTTATGGCATCGTCGCTTGGGACACCCGTCATTTGGCTACTTTAAGCGTTTGTTTCCATCTTTATTCCGCTCTTGTGATGAGTCAAGTTTTAAGTGTGAGACATGTATTTTGGCCAAGAGCCATCGCACTGTGTTTCCTTTGAGTGACAGTAAAGCTGCAAAGCCTTTTGATTTAGTGCATTCTGATGTATGGGGTCCGCTCGTGTTACTTCTAATGGATTTCGTTGGTTCGTCACATTTATTGATGATTGTACCCGACTTACTTGGGTTTTCTTGCTGAAAAATAAACATGATGTTGCTTCTATCCTTCCAGAGTTCTGTACTATGGTGTCTACTCAGTTTCATGCTCAGGTCAAAGTATTCTGGAATGATAACGGAGGCGAATATGTGAATAACACTTTATCATTTTTCTTCCGTGCTCAAGGTATTATTCACCAAACGACAACCTCATTTACTCCTCAGCAGAATGATGTGTCAGAATGCAAGAATCGTCAGTTACTTGAAGTTGCCCGCTCCCTTATGTTGGACATGTCTGTTCCCCATCATCTTTGGGGGCATGCTGTTTTATCTGCTGCCTATTTGAATAATCGTACACCTGGCCGGGTTCTTGATTTCAAGACTCCACATAATGTGTTTGGTGACCATGTTTCCTCTGTCTCGGTCTCTAAGTTGCCCCCTAAAGTCTTTGGGTGTGTTGCCTATGTTCATGTCTACTCTCATCAACGGAGTAAACTTGATCCTTGTGCTCTACGATGTGTTTTTATTGGTTACTCGTCTACTCAGAAAGGGTATAAGTGCTATCATCCACCTACCCAGAAGGTGCATGTTACTTTGGACGTGACTTTCCATGAAGAAGTGCTTTATTATGTATCTCCCTCCTCTCCAATTCAGGGGGAGAGGGGGAGTGAATTGGAGAGTCTTGGATTGGATAATGATTTGTTTGAAGATGCTGCTCTTGGGAAGGAAACGACCTGTCACACTGAAGCAAGTGACCGGTCACCCATATATGAAGACGAAACTTGTGGTCCCTGTGAAGAAACTACTGATCGCCCTTTGGAACTCGATCAATCGCCCATATCTGGAGATGAAGCAGGTGCTCTCAGTGTCACTGAATCAAGTGACCAGTCGCCTGTATCTGAAAATAATGACAGTGATTCTTGTATGGATGAGTTCGATGTAATACCCCCTCTGCCCTGCCATTGGCCCCAATCTACTCATGATAGTGAATCAAGTGAGGTAATTTCTAATGATCTACCTGTGTCAACTTATCAGTTACCCCCACGAACCACTCGTGGGAAACCTAAAGTATAATATTCTCCTGATATACATGCCAAGTCTAAGTATCCCATTAGCCATTTTGTGTCAACTCATCATTTGTCTAAGTCATATGCATCATATTTGTGTCAATTATCTAGTGTATGTGTGCCAACTAAGCTGCATGATGCTTTATCTAACCCAAAATGGATGGATGCCATGAATGTTGAAATGGATGCCTTGAACAAGAATAAAACATGGGCTTTAGTTCCTTTGCCATGAGGGAAGAAAGCTGTTGGATGCAGATGGGTGTTTACTTTGAAGCATAAAGCTGATGATTTCATTGACCGTTACAAGGCTAGATTGGTAGCAAAGGGTTATACTCAGACCTATGGAGTGGATTATTTGGAGACCTTTGCTCCAGTAGCAAAACTCAATACTGTGCGTGTACTATTGTCCTTGGCTGCTAACCGCGACTGGCCCTTATTACAATTCGATGTCAAAAATGCATTTCTACATGGTGACCTCAAAGAGGAGATTTACATGGATCTCCTTCCTGGTATTCCTGTAACCTCTAAGGAGGGTGTTGTGTGTAAGCTGCGGAAGTCTTTATATGGATTAAAGCAGTCCCCAAGAGCGTGGTTTGGGAGATTTGCAGCATCTATGAAGAAATTTGGGTATGTACAGAGTAACTCATACCATACTTTGTTTCTAAAGCGTTATAAAGGTAAATTGACAACTTTAATTATTTATGTTGATGATATGATTGTGACTGGAGATGATCAGGCAGAAATGCAAAATCTTCAGAAGTATCTGGCTTCCGAGTTTGAGATGAAGTCATTGAGTGATTTAAAGTACTTTCTTGGGATTAAAGTTGCTAGATCTAAACATGGTATTTTTCTGTCTCAAAGAAAATATATTTTGGATTTACTTGCAGAGACTGGAATGTTAGATTGTAAACCAATTGATAACCCTAGTAAACAGAATCATAAGTTGGGGTTGTATCCTGATCAAGTCCCTACAGATAAAGAGCGTTATCAACGACTTGTGGGGAAATTGATTTATTTATCTCATACACGTCTTGATATTGCATATGCAGTGAGTGTAGTGAGTCAGTTTATGCATTCTCCTAGTGAAGATCATATGAGTGCTGTGATGCGCATCTTGAGGTATTTGAAAGTAACTCTTGGAAAAGGGTTAATATTTTCCAAGTATAGTCATACAGATGTGGAAGGATACACCGATGCTGATTGGGTATTTTACGTTTGTTGGTGGTAATCTTGTTACTTGGAGAAGCAAGAAACAAAAGGTGGTGTCTCGATCTAGTGCTGAGGCCGAGTATCATGGAATGACCCATGGTGTATGTGAGTTACTGTGGTTGAGGAGATTATTGAGAGATCTTGGCTTTGGGCCTAAGAAACCTATGGATTTATATTGCGATAATAAGGCTGTGATTGCAATTGCTCATAACCCTGTACAACATGATCGTACAAAGCATATGAAGGTTGATCGAAATTTCATTAAAGAAAAGTTGGATGCGGAGATTGTTTCCTTCCCATTCATCAATTCTGAGTATCGGTTAGCAGATGTCCTTACGAAGGCTGTTTCTACTAGTATCTTCCACAACTCGCTTGACAAGTTGGGTATGAGTGATGTCTTTGCTCCAACTTGAGGGGGAGTGTTGGCGAGATATCCTAGTCTTATTAGGATATTTCTTTCTTATTCTATTAGGATTTTATTTGTTTCCTTTTTGTATAGATATTATG